ATCTCCTCCCCCCCCAGCCCCGCCACTGATCCCTTTCCCCCCAGCTCCTGCGGTGAGGCTTGAGCGACTTCCAGCCGCTGGGCATGCCAATCTCCTCCCCCCAGCTCTGCCGCTGATCTCTTCCCCTTCCAGCTCCTGCAGCGAGGCTTGAGTGGCTTCCAGCCACCAGGCCCATCGACCCCCCCCCTGCAGCGAGGACTGAGCGGCTTCCGGCCGCCCCCGAGTTCCCATAGCGTTCTCTGCACGTGCGCAGGGAACGCTCTTTTACTTTTGGGGGGATTTAAATATCTCCCGTATACTTTTTTCGACTTTTTAGATTTTTCTGCACGCCTGGAGACTACTCCAAGTGTGCAAGAAAATCTCCCTGCCCCCCAGGTGTACCCGATGTGCGGATTTAGATATCCGCACGGAGGGAGCAACTTGGCTATTAGATAGATAGATGTGTATATATATATATACATGTATATATACGTGTGTGTGTGTGTGTGTGTGTGTATATACATACATACATACATATACACACACACATATATACAGGAGAAATTGGTTTGAGAAAGAGTGGGGGAAAACAAAGAAAAATTGGGACAGCACGGGATTGTTAACAAAGCTGTGTTAAAGCGGGGGGAAATGGCAACATTGGGAAATGAAAATGGAACATTGAGGCATTCTGGAAGACACCACTATTTCTTGAGATGGGGATGGGTGGGAACAGCCATTAATAATGTTGGAACAGATTCATGTGGGTAACCATGTTGGTCTTAAGCAATAAAGCAAAGTTTGAGTCCAGTGGCGCCTTTAAGACTGACAAAGTTTAATTCTGGATATAAGCTTTCGTGTGCATGCACTGGACTCAAACGTTGTTCTGATTATGGAACAATGTAGTCCATTCATCATGCTTTTCTTGCCGTGTGAATGACTCTGGGTTGAGTTTCATCTCCAGATCATACTGAGTAAAGACTGAATTGCTTTTTTCATTTGATGCTTTGATAGGATGGTGATGTGGTTGCCCCTGAACTTACTCCGATGAAAGAAGGCTGGAGTCAGGATGAAGGTGATAAAAGGCCAGCACTCGAAGACACGCAGCAGAGTATCAGAAAAGCTCTTTTCTGACTGACTGGGCAGCTTAAACTTCTTTCCAGTAATCAGACTTTCATGCTACCATTTTAATACATCAGTTAGCATAGACATATCAAGCTTAACTTCAAGCAAGAATATTCCATAAAAGCACTGGGGAAATGTGCATGATGCTTTTAGGAGAAAGTTTGATGGGAAAGGCCTTGCTTGCTTAGTGGTAGACACTTTAAAAACTCTCCATGTGCTGTGGCCTCCACATGGAAATTTAACCACTGGCAATGAGAACACTATTGCTTAAGAAGAGTTTCATGCTGGTTTGAGGGTATATTCATGAGGGAAGAACTGTCCACTAAAGGAAGCTTCAAAGGCATTTGCAAAATCACTAACGTTTAAAATCAAAGGAGTCCAAAGACCTGTATTTCTAAATGAACATAATTATCCTAGGACTGACAAAATATTATAGCTCAGTTACCAAGGAAAACACTATAAATCAATCATAGCTTTTGAGGGCAGGGAGAAGAGACCTATGCTATTTGCATTAATGTGATAATTGTGACATAAACTTTCTCACAATTTGAGAGAAGTTAGTCTCTGCTGCTTTAGAGCTCACAGTGTTTTTTAATCTTTTAATGGCCAAAGTCAATACCCAGAAGAGCAAACAACAAACCAGTGACATAGTGTCCTCTGAACACATGCTACAGAGGAAATAATGAGTTGCAATAGAGAGGCCAATGGCTGTTTAAAAAGCACATGTTATGCTAAGGGTTTTGTCTTTTCTGTTTTGAAAAGTCTGAATGTATTTTTTTTTAAAAAAACAATTTATTAGGATATATTTAGACATGTTAAAGATAAACTTATATTCACCATTACACTCCTAACCTATATCCTACCCCCCACCCTTTCCCCCTCGTCCGGCTTCCAGCAGTGCTCCGACCTCCAGCCCCATACTTCAATATTCGATTTTCCCAAATCTACTTTTTCCACAGGTAACAGTTACTTAAAATACAAGTACCTAAGATAAAATCAGACCAATTTTCAATAATTGTCAAAACAAAACAAATTGTCTTTTACATCTCCGTTCTTTTCCAAATAAGTCTGAATGTATTTTTAACTCTTCTACATTGCCAGAGATAATGATTATATGTATACGGTAATGTATCATTCTTTTAAGATATTTTTGGAAATATTTTTGTGACGTGCACTTTATGTTGCCAAAAATATGGTTTTGTATACAAGAACTGTTTCTCCTGCTGTCAGTGTTGAGAATCAACTCAGGTTTAATTTCTGAATTTTTTTTACTTTAAGCCCCTTTTAATGATAACCTGTTGAAGAATTACATAAATCTTATAAATTCTATGTTTAAAAGTGGCTGTGTGGATTTCTGTTAGCCCTGGACACATTAAACACTAGACATGATCCATTGCCTTGCCAAATCCTCCTCTCTTCCTATTCTACCTTATGTGCTGTTCCTACACTTGGAATCGTCTCTCCATTGCTCTCCCCTTCTAAGGGACAAGAACAGCAACAGTAGATGGTGTGTGACATAGGGCACAAAATAAATCATGCTATGATGATCTGGACCTCTTCCCTCACTGACACACAAGATTTTCCCTTCTATCTTCTTTCTTGCTGAGCAGCCCCTTTATCTAATTCCCTATTTGTTTGTCTATGGCCCACCCAGTCACTATTTTATTTATGTATTTAATTCTTTCTCTGTGTGTGTATTATGCTGGCCCAGCCCAGGGAACTGAGGGAAGAGACAAAATCACCTTCTTATATTCTGCTTTTGAAATGGCACCCAAGAGACTTTTGAAAGTTCAAAATAAAATGTTTTATTTAACTTGGAGGAGAAAAGGTCAGGTAGAATCACATGCAGGATATATGAGGTGAACAGATAATAAAATTGAGGTAACTTTGTATTCACACAAACACCTGATAATTTATGGCAACAAGTAAGTGTTTCTGCTATTCAACAGGGTTTTTAAAACTTTGAGGAGAGGGGCTTTCTTTTCAGTTTCTGCACAGGTTTCTGAGTTTCACCGATAAGTAAAGTGGAGAAGGTAGGAACATAAAACCGAGTTCCCAAAATCCTTCTTCATACACAAACCAGGGATTACTTCTTTTTTTGTAGAAGCTATTACCTTTCTTTACTGGGCAGGGATCGCTTCTCCTTACTAGAAGCTATTTGCTGTTTTGTTTTTGCTTAAATGAAGATCCTCCTTGATCCACTCACTCTCTTTGCCTCCATCCCAGTCCACAATCAGTGCTTTACTGTTGCTTCTTCAAATGTCATTCCTTAACTGACTCTCTCAACATAATTCCATTTGAACAGCCTGTTTCTCAGACTCTGTTAGGCATTAGCCCTTGACTATCTGTCATACATGTCCTTGATTTAGAGTCCAGTGACACCTATAACTGCTTCAGACTAACATGGCTGACTACCTGGATCTGTCTTCATGACATGCCCGTGATGTCAGTTCAGAAATTCCTCCACTAACGAAAGGCTCCTGTGTAGGTGATTGAATCAATTGCTTGAGCTTCGAATCAAGAGTCAGCACAGTCTTCTTTAAAATTGTAGTTTCCATGGCAGTGTTTAAGCACTGCATACCCTACATTCTCTGCCCAGGATCCAAAGTGGTGTGTGTAGCGCATATATGGGGATGGTTGTTACCCCCATTCCACTGCATTCTTTCATGCCACAGAAGAGCTGATTCCAATGTTTAGGGGACTCATAGGTCTTAAAAACTCATTTAGTTTGTGTCTAATATTTTAATGTGCAATGTACAGAAGGATGACCTAGGCAACTAAATGGCTTAACTTTTTAATTTTTATTTATACCCTGCTTTTCTCCCCAGTGGGGACCCAATGTGGTGGGTCCTACAAGCATGGACGGCTTCAAAAGGGAATTAGATAAGCATATGGAGCAGAGGTCCATCAGTGGCTATTAGCCACAAGGTATAGCTAGGGGCTCTGGGGCAAGTGATGCTCTGTCTTCTTGGTGCTTGGGGGGGGTCAACAGTGGGAGGGCTTCTAATGTCCTGACCCCACTGCTGGACCTCCTAATGGCACTGGTATTTCTGGCCACTGTGTGACACAGAGTGTTGGACTGGATGGGCCTTTGGCCTGATCCAACATTGGCGTCTCTTATGTTCTTATGTTAATGTTGCTTATAATTGCACATGTATTGTGGAATAGAAGAGCTATCATCTGGAGAAGTTCTGACTAGGTTATGGATAATAAGGAGGGGGGAAAACCTCTTAAATGCTTAAACAACTTTTGTTATACATGTAATAAACCAATATCTAAGTTGATTTACCTCTGCTCTGGATTAACTTGTTTAACCATACTAAGTACCCATAGTGAAGCAGAGTTGAATGTCATCACTAGAACCTCTATTCCAGCTGCCAAGACATATGTGGTAAACATCTTATGCTTTCCCAGTATCAGGGAAAGCTACACTTCTAAAAAGGGTGGCCATTACTTGACATAACACATATGACTGAGGAGAATCGCCTGACTAACTATTTTTATGCAGAATATCCCCTAACCTTGTACAGTTCAAGTATACCAGTAAAGTGCAACTTAAACAACAGAAAATTAGTATCTAGGGGTGGAAAGATGGGGAGCAACAGAGCAGATGGAAAAGGGGCAGTGCTAGGGGAGTAGGATATGAGAAAATGGTTGTTAGTCCAGCGTTTTTTTTCCCCATGCTCATCTGTTGAGACATTAAAGAATCCGCAGGAGGTATATGCTCTTTTGAAGAGATTTTGAGAAGTTGCTAATGGAGGTCTACTGACCTCATCCTGTTCTTAAGTTATTTGTAATGTTCATGCAGGGAGGAACTTCGTTTTTCTGGTTAATCCAGAGCCCAAACTTCCAAGTCATGGATGAGGAATTCCTCTCTAGGGGATAATGCTTCATTATTGAATGTTTCACAGGGATGACTTCCTCCATGGTTCAGATCTCCATCTAGCCATAATCCAAATTTCCCACTGCAAATGTAAAAAGAGAGGCAGTCTGTGGCATGAAAGTTGTACTGCAGCATAGACATAGGCTTCTAATTAGGAACAGAGTGGGGCTTGGTTCATTTGCTTTGGTCCACATAGGTACCACTGCTGTGGACTTGCTGTCTGCTCATGGCACACGATTTGCCTGAGCCATCTTGTAGTGGTGGCAGGATTATATTTACTATTTGCTTCCTTCCTCTGTTAATAGCTTTACAATTACTTTGAGCCTGGTACCACTTTGATAAGATTATAAAACTGTAGCCTAAGGGTGCAACTAGACAATACATGTGACACTTAGAACTGATGTTCCCAAGCACAGCATAGCTGGATTCAACTTGTGAGAACAGCATCGGGAAGGATCATTTTCTGAGCCACAGAATGACCGTGGGGCCCCTGTTTGCTCTGCTGTGAGGATCCACATTTACTGACTGCAGTGTCACACGTATCATGTAATTAAGTCCAGATGTTTCTCTGACTTATCTGCTGCTGTTAGCAGTCTTCAACCAACATCTACTCATGTAACAAACAGTTCATAGGACCTGAACAGTACCACTGCAGAAATGAAGTTACAAGCCTGACCCAACCTTAGGTAATAATTTTTTACCCAAACTGGTATCCAGTCAAAGAATGCCAAAAAACATCATCTGATTCTGGTATAATG